CATCTATGAAGATCCATTTAGCTGAAATTGTCATTCAAACGTCAATGAAACAGGTGGAAACGATGAATAAAGTTTTACAGCCCAATATTACTTATTAATAACTGAGTAGTACTCATGTGACGAATACTTTGAAGAAAACGAAACTAGCGAAAGAGTCATGAGTACTATTTTTCTAAGGGATTATTTCTGCCACGGAGTAAGTAGTTGACATTCAATATGTGGAAAGAACCATTCCTTCAAGGATAATTATTATCACTTGTGGATCAAACCGTCTTTAATTGTGACCATTTCTTTCTAAAAAATGAACAATTACAGAATAAATTCAGTCTACTTGAGTTAGATCGGCAACTGGATATATAAATTTTTTTCAGCTTTCAAAAACGCCTTCCAGTATGTACTTGTTTTTGCTACTGAATAAACATGGCATTCTTTTATCAACGCCTCCTCTCCCAACGTGCTTCTTTTAGCACGTTTACAGATAGCGGTATAGAATGAGCAAGGCATATGCATACAAAAGGACCAAAAGAGTTTAATAAAAATCAATAAGTAGCAAAGATGGGAGAAATAGGACAGCAATTATCGAAACCAGCATGAGATTGTGCCTTTTTTCTTCGTAGTAATTACTTAACATTAGAACGAAATAGCATATGGATATGTCATCCATGCAAACCCATTAAGTTGAAATCGTCATTGAAACAGGTGAATGCGCTGAAGTAAAGCATTTCAACACTATGCTACTTAATTATAAATCAGTAGTTATTATGTTGCGAATACGTTTGAGAAGCAGCACACTAACAGACACATACGACGTAATTTAATCAGGAATTGTTCTTATCACAGAGCATGGGGACATCATTCAATATGTGAGATGAACTATCCCTTCAAGAATAACTATTGATACCTCTTGGCGATCGCGCGGTCTTAAGTTGTGACCACTATATTTCATAATAGAGCCAATTATTGAAGAATTCCAATTTACTATGATTAAGATCATCAAATGGATACTTCAATTTATCACTTGTTTTTCAATAAATTCATCAATATGAGCATGGCATTTATCTTATCAACGCCTTCATCCCCTCAAGCTCGGAGTTAGCCTTCAGTGCAGTGCATATACCTTCAAATGTACTAAATGAGTTTAACGACAAATCAATAAAAAATAAAAATTAACAAAACAAGACAAAGCAACTACCTTTGCTCTATGGCTACATCATTGTGAGATTGTGGCTTAATTTATACACATTTCTAACTTCTCATATTTTCCATATTTGTTTGAAAATACCAAAAGAGATTAAAGACAAATCGATAAGTAGTAAAAGGTAGAGAAGCGAGACAAAGAAATCATCTTCCCTTAATGTTTAAATCCTTTAAAGATAGCAAACGATTGTGGGTTAGTTTATGCACATTTCCAATTTCTCATTTTTGTCGCATTTATTTGATATTTACTTGTCAATATTTAAACAATGGCTAATTTGCAATAACGTAATATCTAAACTTTAACAGTTACTGGAAGATCACAATAAAACTAATTTTGTAAGGGAAACGTGACAGCCTGCCAAGATGTACTCCCAATTATCGCTTAAGCTAACAGTCCCTTCATCATGTGACAGGCAAATGTCATCCTTTCCTATCAGCTCTCCATGGCATACATACAAGATGTGTTTCATTTCTGACTTATCACAGTCATTGTGAAAGTGATTGAAAATGATGTATGGGGCTGTTAACATAGAATCGCAAGTCCTTAAAGTGAATGCAGCATATGATTTTAAATAATCTGAATCATCACCCCTAAATAATGCCCTATCACGATTTAAGACACACGACTCAAAAGTTGTCCTTTCTAAGGAATATAAATTTAAGAAAACCACCAAGTAGTGCATTTATTTCTCATGATGAAATCTAACACAATTGAAGACAATCCTATTGAGCAGAACCTACAGATAGCTTCCAGATTGGATCCAGATTTAATACGAATCCTGAAAGATGCCAATATACTTAACAATTTGGTGTTGAAGCAATGCGATCCCCGAAGCTTCCAAACAGTTGATCGCGGGAAATATAAGAATCAACATGGGAAAAAATTGGCTGATCTTGTTGCAAGGGCAAAACAGCTTCTTCATTTTCTCTTTCCAAAATTCACCGCAAATTCCGCACAATTATTCGAGTATCTTGCCCAACCACTGTAAAATATTCTAAATATATTTTATTCCAGTTTTTATTGATAACTTTATAATGGACTTTAACAAATGGAAATACGCCTTTTTACTGGGGATCATCAAATTTCTCTATAAGTCGCACCAACACTTGAATATCACCATTATTTGCCCTGTTTTATATAATGCAATTTAGTGGTGTTAAGTAACTATGCATCTGACCGACAAAACCACCTATTTGTGAAACAAGCGACCCTTTATTGTTTTTAGTGGAGGATAAATTACGAGGTAGACATTTTTGTCAGAAATGAAGTAATTGCTCACAATGAGGAACAATTTACCTTTACGGGGTGTTAAATTGTGCAAAAAATGTCTAATAATCCATGATGTAAACCTCGTGCATAGATAATGTTTCAAAAAAATACCCTCCTTTCGAAACAGAAAGGCTATCGGTTGGAGCTATATAGAGAAATTCTCTACTTGACACTAAGGCTTTATTACGTATTATAGTTATTGTTGCACTGTTGGGATGCCTAATTCAATATTTTTTTTGCACGGGGTGCGCGATAGACTTACCTCCTCGTGGTGCACCCTGGACAACGTATTTTCTTACGGCAAAAAAGTCTATCACTCGGCATTCGTTTTTGACTTCGATTAATTATGATTAGCTTGAAAAAAGGCTATAAGAAAAATCGCCCTCGTCAGGGCGAATCACTACGTCTTCAGATCCTCCAGTGGAATGCTGGAGGAATGTCTCCGGACAAAAAGATCCAAATACAGAAAATCCTACAAACCTATGATGTAGACATTTTCACAATTATGGAAGCTAACATTTCGGATGACAAACTGAAGTATTACCAATTCCCAGGTTACACCCTGTACCTTCTACCTAAATACCGGCAAGTTGCAAGTGGAATTCTAACTGGAGTAAAAGATGACCTCACCTCACACTACGACCTAATCAAGAGTATGGGCTCGACACAAGACAAATGTGAAATAATCAGATTAAATGTTTGGAAATGTCAAAACCAATTCAAGATATATGCAGTCTATAATCCTCCCCAGAATTATCCAAACTTGGACTTTCTGAACATCTCACACAAAACTATAGTATTAGGAGACTTCAACGCCCA